TGTCAGATTATTCATTGACATGTTATCATTCTTTGTTTTCCCTCGAATCCTAATAGAGTGCAGGTTAAGAGGTAAAAATTTTGGGTCTTCTGTGATAATTTCTGCTCTCAAGAACAAAGCGCAATTTTAAAAATAACTCTGGTGGTTATACTTTCAATTATTTTTAAAATTAGTTTGCGTACTGCAACCACTTCGAGCGTCTATCTATCTATCTATCTATCTATCTATCTATCTATCTATCTATCTATCTATCTATCTATCTATCTATCTATCTATCTATCTATCTATCTATCTATCTATCTATCTATCTATCTGTCTGTGTGTCTGTCTGTTTGTCTGTCTGTCTGTCTGTTTGTCTGTCTGTCTGTCTGTCTGTCTGTCTGTCTGTCTGTCTGTCTGTCTGTCTGTCTGTCTGTCTGTCTGTCTGTCGGTATACCTGTCCATCTGCCTATCCATATATCTGTCCGTCTGTCTGTCTGTCTGTCTGTCTATCTATCTGTCTGTCTATCTGTCTGTCTATCTATCTGTCCGTCTGTCTGTCCGTCCGTCCGTCTGTCTGTCTGTCTGTCTGTCTGTCTGTCTGTCCTTCCGTCTGTCTGTCTGTCTGTCTGTCTGTCCTTCCGTCTGTCTGTCTGTCTGTCTATCTATCTATCTATCTATCTATCTATCTATCTATCTATCTATCTATCTATCTATCTATCTATCTATCTATCTATCTAATTGCCTACGTCAGGGTGCCCTCACGATCACCCCCTTAACGTAGGGTAAAACCAAAATAGTGTGGGCGGGTAAGATGGTTTGACGAATATGACTCGCTGGTCCTGACATGAATAATTTCACAATCCCGGCACGTACGCCATCAAACCCTTCTCGCCACATGTTCTTTTTTAATGCGTGAGCGTTAAGCTGGCATTGGCAACGTTGACCCTACGAATCCAAATAATGAACGTTTGTGCCCTGGCGGAGAAATCGAAGCCAAGCAATCTGCGTGGAAACCAAGTATTCTACTACAGAGCCACGCCAGGTCTTCGAAATACTTTGCAAGAAAAGCCATATGTTGGTGTAACGCCAATGATGGTTCCAGTGTTGACTATCCGATTTCTCGCTTATATTTAGCGCCATTTCTTAATGCTTCGCTTAATAAGAAATTACTACAGAGTCGCCTTCTATCAACATGCTTCGCATAGCATTGATTCCCAAGGTACGTGGGATGTGATTTTTCTTTGCGGGAGGTAGCAGATGGTGAAATGTATGCCACGAAACAATCTTCATTTGGCCTTAAGAGCAAACATTGTGAAAGAAATCGAGTAGTTTTTACACAATAAAGCATTGTGTCAAAAACACTCCGAAAATTCAGGAACATGGCCTCGCGCGGCTAGGCCTCCTGAAAACGTCGCAGCGCTTGCGAAGCGCAAGAATAGAACGCAAATGCACCCACTCGCACAGCAGCGCATTATGCGGGCGCCACCGGCAGTCATCAGCTGCGGGGCCATCTCCTAGCCCACGCTCAGCACACTAGGCAATATATTTCTAGACACTGTAGCTGTAGCTAAGCACAGTGACATTCCAGGGTTCGTTGACTGGTATCGAGCATTGTCCAGACGAAGCAGTCATGATCTGTGCGTCACATATGTCGTTGCTTCCTTCGACGCCTTCCCAAGAAAAATAGGCAATGAAAGAATCACCAGCCGTAGATGAAGCTTTCCAAGATTCATCCTGCGAATTCACAAAGCAATGACAGGAAACTGAAATGACGAGAACCTGCAGAAGCAAAAGCATTCTCGTGAGTGACGCAGTCATAGTCGAGCCGGTGCCACGCCCCAGAGACACATTAAATGCAGATGTATATGTAAGGCTGTAGCTATGCACAGTGACGTTCCAGGATTCGTTGACTTGTATCGAGCATTGTTCAGAAGAAGCGGTGATGATCTCGGCGTCACATATGTCGTTGCTTCCTTCGACGCCTTCCCAAGAAAAATAGGTGACGAAAGAATCAACAGCCGAAGATGCAGCTTTCCTTGATTCATCCTGCCAATTCGCAAAGCAATGGCCGGAAACTGAAGTGAGGAGAACCTGCACAAGCAAAAGCATCCGCGTGAGCGATGCAGTCATGGTCGAGCCGGTGCCACGACCCGCGTGTCCACATAGGGCCCGTAATCGTGTCTGCATAGTGTACGCGTAGTGCCCGTAATCAGATCGGGAAGTTCTCAGGTTATCTCCATATTTCTTAGTGAATTGATGTGGTTTGTGAATGGTGGCACTTACTTTTGTGATGGGATGATCAGCAAACTAGGGAAAAGATTTTGGCGTTATAATCAAGCGTTGCTCGAATACGCCGTCTAACGTTACGTATTACAAGCATGTTATAGTACCATAGCGTGTGCTTCAAGGCCACAGTGCTGATGTCTGTACTCCAATGCGAGTTTCGACGTGACGTTCAACCAGGCACAACTATTTGCCGGAATCGTACTTGACGTGTCTGGTGTGCGTACAATTTACCAATGACACTAATTACACTTCATTTACCAATAATGACACCGCATTTACCAGTGACACTAATGCAGCTCGTAATTGTTGTCTAACATTAAAAAAATTATTGCATATATGGACCTGCGCACTGACAGTTTCGCTTGAAATCAATTCTTATGAAGCATCTAGCCTGCTGTTCTGAATCACAATGCTTCATCAACTCTTCTAAAAGGTTGCGTAATTACTATTGATTCATGGTGCGTAACCGAACGCCCATAAGCTGCCATAAGTTTTTTTATTTATTATTTATTTATTTAATACTGTAAGCCTTTCTCAGGCTCATACAGGGTGGGCGGGCAAATATACACAGTCGCGTACAAACCAGGCAATATTGCACATAGCGGAAGAAACAGAATCACAAGATGATGGTGAAAATAAAACTTGAACGATGAAAGCAATTGTTCAAAATCATGAACAGGTCACAAAACATCGAGGTATCAGCAGGGGGTACAGTGATCAGTTTGTACGGAAGCGCTCACAAACATCCAAAAACAAAAGTTGCTTTTAGTCTTCATAAAACAGGCTTTCTACATTCCGGACAAATGAATCTGCAGAGGAAAGATTAACGCATTCACGTGGCAATTTGTTCCACTCTTCCACTGCTGATGGGAAGAATGAATATTTAAAAGTGTCACAGCGTGACATGAATGGTCTGATGCACTTATTGTGGTTGGTACGAAGGAAGTGAGGGTTAGGCGGCTTTATATAGTTGTCTTTATTTATGTTTAAGCCGTTGTGATACAAAAGAAAAATAAACTTTAAGGAAGAGACACGGCGACGGGCTGCAAGGGTCGGCAAGCATGCCCGCCTGCGCAGCTCAGTGACACTGTCATGCCTCGAATACTTAGAATAGATAAAGCAAAGGGCCTTGCGTTGGACGATTTCTAATTTGTTGGAAAGATATTTGGTGGGGGTTCCAAAGAATGCTGGCGTACTCGAGGATCGACCTTATGAGAGATTTATATGCTGTCCGTTTTACATTAGAAGGCGCCAATGCAAGTTTTCGACGCAGGAACCCTAACTGGCGATAGGCTTTTGTGTACGTGCTGCTTATGTGTGCATCCCACTTCAGTTTACTTGTAAAGGTAACGCCCAAGTATTTAACAGCGTCGTTTCTTGCAATGTTTGTGCCGACCAAATTGTAACTAAAATGCTCGATTGTTTTTCTGCGAGTTATGCTAAGGCAAGCTGTTTTTGACAGGTTAATTTCCATTCCCCACTCAAGAAACCAACATGCAATATTAGCTAGTGTGGTATTAAGTCTAAGCTGGTCATCAGTTGTGCGGATAGTGGTGTAGATCACGCAGTCGTCAGCGAATAATCTTATTTTAATGTTAGGCTCAAGGCACATATAGATATCATTAACATATGTTAGGAACAAGATGGTTCCTAAAACAGAACCTTGTGGTACTCCGGAAAAAACTTCCAATGAATCAGAGGCTGTGTTGTTTACGGTTACATACTGGCTTCGATTTGATAGATACATTTTTATCCATGCTATCATGTTACTGTTAATACCAATAGACACCAAGTTTGTCAATCAATTTACTGTGAGGCACCTTATCAAAAGCTTTCGCGAAGTCTATAAATACGCAGTCGGTTTGCAATTTGAGTTAATAGTAGTTACGAAGTCATGCGTTATTTCTAAGAGTTGAGTAACGGTAGACAGGTTTTTACGGAATCCGTGTTGGTTTGGGTGCAATAAGTTGTTATCTTCTAAATAAGTAATTATTGCCTTGTTGATTACATGTTCCAATAAATTACAGCTAGAAGTTAGAGTTCATACTGAAGTGACCAGTATTGTTACAAGTATCATCTTAAAAAAATGTATGTATATAGTTCGCGATTGTTTCTTTTTGAGTGTAGCTACTAAATTGCAACCTTAACAAAAAATTTTCAAGATACACTCAACCGCGCGACGTTATTAGGCCACGTGTCATTTAAGTAAGAAAGAGGGAATTTTCGAAATTTCCCCGAAGGGAATCCTGATGGGATATGGAGCAGCAGCAATGCGCACGGGTGGCGTCACAGGTTGAACAAGTGCTGTGGTGAGCGCTGAAAGATTCGTTCGAAGTGATGGCTCACGTAGGTTTTGTAGGCGACACGTACAGACATATTTGAACGCGTACGTTAGGCGCGCGTCAGGTTCATTGTATGCAAACTGATGAGTCGGCGATGTAATGAGCAGTGGTCACGGCAGCTGTTGCGGGCGAACGCACCAGGCGGCAGCTGCGGGCTCCGCGGTGAACGCGCGGCAGGCGAGGGAGACAATGACGTCAGCGCACAGTGCGGAAAAAGCGTGTTTCAACGCGCAGCAGTGGTGTAACTTACTTGGCACCACGCAAACACCTGCGGCACGTGGCACGTTCGTATGGAGTGACAGTGTTACACTGGCTAGTCAAATAGCTACTTTGCATTTAAAAAAGCGTGGTTTTTACACATTTAAATTTATTTACGAAAATCATACTCACTACTTGACAATGTGCAGGTCATTGTGTCGTTTTGTACAAATGTCCAATTCAGTCTGCAAAGTAGACAGTATATATTACTTGAGCCAAAAAGAATGTAGTATGTCTCTCACGTGAATGAGTTTCTGGTTTGGAAGAATGTGGTTATCTTCACGCCAGTGTCAGTAATATTGCTGGGCACTTCACGCTCGCAATTATAGGTAAACACATAAGTTGATTTGGCAGTCCAAAGTTTCTTGTGACCCTTCCAGAACTGCGGAATCAAACAAAAATGAGTAACTGTCATGAAGATGTGTGACAAGTTTATTCGAGATATGATTTCCGCTACACATAGTTACATATTTTTGCTTAAAAATATTTATCGTCCCACCAAATAATATATCTATACTGGCTCTCAGATGCTAAGCGAATTGTTGTCGGTTAGATCTCGTCCACGTCAGTCTCATTTTTACGGAGCCGAAGTGCCAAAGGCTTGTGTGTGATATTAGCGCAAGGTAAACACCAGATGGTCTAAATTTGTGGAGCCCGTACGTAAGCGTTTCCGATAATCACATCAAAAATTAGGGGACCCTAAAGCTTTGTCTTTAGTAGTTGAACGCGATAGCGATATTCTGTTCCCAGTGCGTACGTCAAGCACTTAGTGCATGAAACCTTGGCGAATTTGCTATGCACACACTATATGGCTTCAAGAGAATATACACAGTAACGTGTGTGTCTTTTGTAGTGGGGTATGGGTTGGAACCATGGCACCAATATGATAATCAAATATTTTGATGCCGTTTGGAAATGTACGCTTCTATCACAGTATTATTGCAATATTTCATGTTGCATTATGAAGCATGTATACGGGGTGCGTGTCTTTGTGAAGCATGAAAGCTAGTTTCACTGCATTCCAAAGCAGAGGAAGTTTTGTTCACTATTTTCACAAGCATAGACTTTAGACCAGACTAGTACTCAATCTTGATTAATATGTAGGTATTAACGTCCGAAAACAACCATATCATTATGAGAGACGCCGCAGTGGAGGGCTCCGCAAATTTCGATGACCTGGGATTCTTTAACGTGCACCAAAGTCTGAGCACATGGGCCTACAACATTTCCGTTTCCATTAGAAATGCAGCCACCACAGCCGGGATTCGATCCCGCAACCTGCGGGTCAGCAGCCAAGTACCTTAGCCCCTAGACCACCGAGGTGGGGCACTAGTACTCCATCTTGGAGAGGTGTTTGGCCTCACTTTTTCCTTGTTTGTATAACACGATATGAAGAACTCTCGATGTGAAGAACTCACGCCATGTTAGCTATTAAGTGTTTATAAGTAACGCTTGAGCATTTATTATCGCCATTTGAGTGAACTTTTGTTTGTTTGATTTTGTATTTATTACGCAAATACTTTTATAAATACAATGCAAGATTTAAAAAATAGGCTTAGCCATGTGGTAGAGCGTCCGCTTGCCATGCAAAAAACCCAAGTTCAATCCCCACTTGGGCCCAAACAATGCTGGTTCGATCCCCACTTTGCTCCAGAATTTTTAACAATATTCATTTTATTGCAACCAACAACACCGACAGCAACGTCGATGCTACAATTTCTGCGGAAACAACCTGTTTAACGCTATTGCGTTCATACTTTAGACAAAACTCTTGTTATATATACAGATATTGACTGGCGTGTCGCCAAGAATATTTTTCTACGAACCAAATGCAATTGTCCTAACATGTTTTTGAATGCAAGGAGCAACAACAGCAACCATATGCAAATAAGGTACGTGCACCAAAGAAAGTTCACTAGCAAAAACATGGTGTAAGAAACCCCCTTTTTATTAAAGTCCTGTTATACCGTATCGATGGTCATTGCATGGCAAGTAGACACTGAATTTAGTTTAGTCATCACATTATATTATTAGAACAAACTTTTATATAAAATTCAAATGCTTTTTGAAGTATTTACCTTTGAGAAAAACAATGAATTTGTTCAAAATTTGATATTGATGAAATATTCTTCCAGGTTCATGTTTAAAACTATAGGTAAGAAAACCTAATCTTAACCTAATGCCATTTAATACCATCGAATGCCGTCTAAAATCTTGATTAGTATGTGGGGTTTAACGTCCCAAACCACCATATGATTATGAGAGACGCCGTAGTGAAGGGCTGCGGAAATTTCGACCACCTGGGGTTCTTTAACGTGCACTCAAATCTGAGCTCATGGGCCTACAACATTTCCGCCTCCATCGGTCACCTAAAATCTTACCCTAATGTCATCCCATTCATGGGATTCAGTTTAGTTTAACCATGCTGCAAGCTATGTTGATGCACATGGAAACAAAAATCACAGCTTCGTCGTAAAGGGGAAGCAATGAATCCGATTGCAGAAAAATGTAAAGTCATAAAGTCATACGAAGTAAGGCTGGCAGCTTATTCTTTTGTGTCCTATCTCGCGCAACTCAACACATCGTTGTTGTTAGAGAAAACCGCTGCTACAGGGCTGGAGATGGTTTGCTCGTGTTGACAGCACAGCACGTGAAAGGCTACTGGAGCTGCTTCCTGACGCCTACCTAGATATCTCGGACGTCAGTGATCGTAAGCGCACTCTTAGAATCAAACGTCTTAACCCTTTGATGCCCAATGTTGCTCTGGAGCAACCTCTATACAAGTACTTTTTTCCATTGATGCGCTAGGATACATAATAGTTGTAGTGATTTCGGCGGAAATGGACAAAGACTACCAGTGGCGTCGCCAGGGTGAAGGGGTTGAAAGTTTAACCTCCCTCTTCCCAAAATTTTTCTTGCCCCCCCCCCCCTAACCACGTGTCGATGTGTCGCTTCGCGCGGACATGATAAAGAAACTAAGTGGCGCTACTATCCCAATATCATTCCTGGGTGCTTTTACAGTGAATAATTTTTGTCTACGAAAAAACGTGTCGTGGTGTTTGTTGTCACGGTTAAGGTATTCTGTGAGATTTTGGGCAGGAAGCTTGGCCGCGAACGTTGTATGTTGGCTCTGCGACGGTATTAATGCCGCAGCGGTGGTAATACGTGTAGCCACCGGAGCAGATCTCGCCGGAGTCGATAACTACAATAATTTTTACTAGGCAGAGTTTTGTTTTATAATAACAGTCAGGCACAGTTCCAAGGTCTGATAGGCCACGTGCGAGCATATTACAGTGTGACTTTTCGTACGTGTGCTAAAATATACTCAAGGCAGAGACTAACGTTTCTATTGAACCTTGGCACGTTCTGATAACATCTAAACACGCACACACACGCACACACGCACGCACGAGTTACAGGATATTCAGTTCATCTTCCAAACTTTGGTTGTATGCGAGTGTACCTTTACTGTGCCCTAACAGTTAAAGGCACTCGGAAGTGTTTTCTAGTGACGAAGGTGCAAATCAGGCAAACGCGCAGGCAAGTCACAACCTTACAAACGACTAATAAAACACTAATAAATAAATCAAGCTGAATAATAAAAAGGTGGTGCTCATAAACCTAAAGCAACGTAATGAGAAATGCAGTGTGGGCAGCTGTAGTGAGCACAAGTTTTGTTGTTCATTCGCGTGGCAAACAGAGGAAGAATAAAAAAAAAGCTGAAAAAATATACGACAAACGAGAAGTATTGAGTTGCTTCATCTGTTCGTCCGTTTATATTGACGTAACTAGAAGGACACACCGAGTGATTTCTGTAAGCAGTGACATAAAGCACAACAAGAAATGCACAAATCGAAGAAACATGCGTGGACATGCCATCACTATCAGCGAGCTCCTCAAGGGAAAGAGGCCAGACGTCCTAATTTTCCCTCAGAGGTTTACCTTCTCGCCCACAGACGATCACAGCGTCTGAGATGCAGATCAGTTTTTTTGTATATTTATTTTGTGCTTGCGCTGATGACTCCATCTTTTCAACAACTGAATAGCCCTTCAGTGCTTCTAGAAAACTTGTTGCGTATAGAGCAGCAATCTAATGGTAGTCACACTCGTTGTGGCTCCTCACATTTTGAGCGCATTCTCTCAACATGTGAATGGAGGGAGGACCGAGGCACCAAGAAGTTGGTAAGCAGCCTTGCCTGAACTTTGTTTTCCGAAAAGCATACATGTCTAGCAGAGAGCTCCACACTGATAATTAGAAAACACCAATCAGGAAAACGTGTTTTGCCACTTATGGTGGAACTTTATTGTGTGCTCAATAACTGAGGCAAGCTATAGTTACGGCCTCGTTTATATGGTGTCATTAGCAAACGTAATCTAGTCTCGTCGTCCTATAGCTCCTGGCATCTTGCTTCGTTAAAGACGTAAAAACCAATGTCGTTGTCAGGAATCGTAGTTTCCGTGTGTGCATCATGCTCTGATCAGTTTTTAAGAGTAATATCTGCACACGAGTCATATTCAGGCAGTCCAAAACTACAGCTGGGAACCATTTTATTGGCCGCTGTAGCTTTTTCGCCAGTTGTCGAGAGAGCGCTGGGAGCAGCGTCTCCTTTCGAGAAATAATCATCAAAGGTTACCTTACGACGTTTGGACGTGGTCGCTGAGTCTCATAGAAAGGCGCTGATTGACACAAAACACGAACTACTCAGCAGTACGTGTAGGCAGTGGATTTCAATAGGGTGACTTTTCATTGCTAGAGAACAACGCGCTCAGCAAATTCAGGCAGTGACACTGAATGCAACAAAAGAAAACTTTTGCGACGATACATGTCAACTGGTTAAGTTCCACATGAAACACTAGCCCTCGTTTCTTTCTTTGCGGAAAGATTTCTTCCGCTTGCTGTCAGGTGCCGGTAAGCTCATGCTCACCCAGTATCTAACTCTGTGCGCGAAACGTCTCACGTTTGCGATTGTGCCCTCACGGCAATCTGGTATTTTCTGAACGTTGTGAGCCTGTACAACAAACGTGAATGAACGCGAAAGAGTTGGTGCAAGCAGTAGAACTCCAGCGACTCGCATTAGAAAGCCCGAAACAGTCGACCGACAGGCATCGATGGTGCACAGTACCGCGTAAGTAAACACGTCTTGCATGCGCTGGCAGTTCTCGTCAGAATTCACTCGTCCTAAAAAAGTGATTATGGTACTCTGTGCTCTAAACAAAATCAGAGATCATTCCTAAATCACTAGTGAAAGATCGGTCGAGATTTTGTGTGGCACGAGGCTGCTCCTGTTCGCACCTGCGTAAGTGCTGCAAACATGAATGCATGTACTAGTTAGAACGGTGTGTACATGTGTGGTAAAACAATAACCTGGGAAGTCTGTGTCG